GTAATGACGAATTCATTGCAAAAGTCAGAGAAATGATAAAGAAAATTCCTGTTTTACTGTCAGGATGATGACAGATAAATCTGGTGTTAATAGAGAGACCATTCGTCAAAAGTTAGTGCAAGATTTTGGCAAGAAAAATGTTGCTTGCAGGTTTGTACCGCATTTGTTGTCTGATTCCCAAAAACTTCAACTGGTTGAGTACCCAAGAAACATCATCAAAACAAGAATTGCTGGCCCTAAAACAAGTGTGTGTTCTCAACCATCCACAATATTTCCCAGATTTGTTCTATTTCCAAAATCAAAGTTACCATTGAAAGGACGCTTCTTTGACGATTTGTATGACGTCCAAAAGGCCGTAAGATCGACTTTAAGGGTCATATTAATAGAAGAACTGCATAGACCATTCCATTGAGTGTTAGATCAGGCTACTCACTGTATCAATGCACAAGGGGCTTACTTTGAATAAAATACAGGTTATGTCTTGAAATGTCGATTATTTTATTTTTTTATGGAATCAGTCTCATTACTTAATTGTCGGACCTTGTATAACACTGAAAACGAAGAACTCGATAGCAGTGCCGTAAAAGGTCTTCCTTCCGTTTGTCCCCTTCCCGACTATGACCTACGTTTAACACCCTTAGAAAACCAAATCTCAGTCTGGATTGCAAACCAGAAATCAAATCTCTGGCACAAGTTTTAAAGAAGTTATAACTTGGCCACCCTTATAGGCCACTAGGTGTAACTTGCAGTCCTATGTGGGTAATGATTGTAGGGTATTCAATATAAGGCATTTTAGTAGCCGAGATGAGTCATATTCAATGGTGAGTATGTTTGTATGGTATCCTCAACTATAGTGTATCAAGTCTAGGAACCATTATAAATTAGTTTATGAAATCAAGAGGCCGCCCCAGGAGAACGTGGATTGATAACATTAAAGAGCTTCTACATCGAGACGGAATGACAAAAGCTATTGCTGCCCATCAAGCAGTGGACCGCACACTGTTCCTCCCAACAATGCTTAACGGCAGAAAGTGAAACTGATGATGATAAATAAATTAGTTATATTGTTATTTAACCTACCCAATGACGTTAACTGCTTTGTTTACAAATAATAATTAATCAATACCTCGAATACCTAGGGCAGACATTTTTCAAGCAGACATTTTAAATTTAAAAGTATTGCAGCAGTTATATCACTTCGATCAGAGTAGTTACCGTGTAGTTACTTCTACACCATTTAAAAGTGAGATGTGTGTGTGTGAATACCCTTCTCTTCCTTACCCACTTCATCTCTCTTTCTCTTCTTTCCTCTCTCTCGTTGTCTCTATCTTTAGATATCTCACTTTCTCTAAATATTGCTCCCTATCAATGGTGTCTACCAAATTTGTGACAATTTGATAATAAAATACGTTTGTTCCTCTCTCTCTCTCTCTCTCTCTCTCTCTCTCTCTCTCTCTCTCTCTCTCTCTCTCTCTCTCTCTCTCTGTGTGTGTGTGTGTATAAATATATATGTATACCTCTCGCTGTCTCTGTGTGTGTGTGTCTCTCTCTCTATCTGTGTGTGAGTGAGTGTGTGTGTGTGTGTGTGTGTGTGTGTGCGTGTGCTGCCGTGCTGGTTTGTCTTTCCTACATGTATGAAGATTTGTGTTCAATTGCTGTCATTTTGAAATCACCAACAGAGCCAGATGTGAGCTGGGTAACACAACTGGACGTGACGGCAGCGGTAGACCAAGACAGGTGAAATCCTTGAGACTATGCAACAATTTCTGGGATCCTCAGGTATGTACGTTACATATTTGATGTGTTGAAATATCACAACTACATACCTTAGTCTCCCCTCTTCATCTGTGAGAAAGACAAGAGATTTACTATTATGTACAAGTATATAATTGTTGCAACGATCTTGACCCACATATATTTATGTACCTTTGAGTTCTTCTTTTGAAGGTTTGTACGTAGTCAATGTAGTCTGTAGTCATTAAAACATAACAATATGCCAGATTACATCATTTATCATTAAGAGCCGCAATAGCGCATTCTCTCAACGCTTACCTGCCCACATGAAAGTTCTTGGTTAGAACACCCCCTCCCCCCCCCCCCCCCCCCCCCCCCCCCCGTGCTGATTTAATGGGAAATACCTTTGGCTCTCATTACAGCATAGCCTCATTTTAGCACCAAGTATGTGTGATGTGTGCATGTGGTAACTAAGTGTGTGGTGTGTATAATTGTGTGGAATGTGTGTATTTATGTGTGATGTGTGTATGAGTGGTGTGTGAGTATGTGTTTTGTTTCATATATCAGTCAAACTGTAAGCACATAACATTTATGAACAACTTTGTAGTATTCATTTATGATCATCTGTTTTAGCAATATTAACAACATCTAGAGAGCACTAGTGGTCAAACATCTAGACGCTGGCCTCCACGTTCTGAAAGTCTTGGATTTGAACTCGCATCGGATTTTTTTTTCTAAATTAAAATTAGCCTTATCTCCTAGGTATACTCAGGTGCTTTTCTTTTAGTTCATCCCATCTCGGGAAATCTGAGACTTCGTGGAGAGTTTCCCCGGAAGTCCAATTATATAGGGGAGTAAGAGTGTGAAATAAACACGGACCAACACTAACCCTACCCCCTCCCCTTCTTTTTTTCTCTACCCACCCACCCCAAGCCCCCTATAAAATTGTACTTCCCCAAAATTCCTCATGAAGTCTGGGAGTCACTGAGATGGGGTGAACTAAATGAAAAGTACATAGATCCAGTCTAAAAAGAATTTATGGGAACCTGCTTTGTCTGTTTGTCAGAAATTTAAATCCCCGAGGTGTGATATTTGTTTACACTCAGGTTGACGGAACCTTAAAGTAATGACAGCCAACTGCCAATTTGCCTTTATTGTACCACTTTTTTGGTGTAGGCAGGGGAGGTCTTTGAGCCTGAGGATTTACTACCGCATGGCTAGAACTGTCACTACGACTGTGCAGGTGAGGATTTTATTTTGCCCCTGACAGAAAAATGCCCCAACCTTACCGAGGATACCAAGGACCTAGTTTTCCTGCTTTAGAGCCCAGCGTTCTAACCGTTCGGCCAGCCGCTGCTCTAAGAATGACAGCACATTAACTTTAAAGTTAATTTGTGAAATAGGTAAAGAGCCAGAGTAACACTTATTCCGTCATCGAGGCACCGTGATAACTTGAAGGTGACATGTTTAGTTCTCTTTGATGACTATAGCCTTTGATATGTGTGTTGTCTAATGAGTCCTCATGTCTCTACTTTTTTGTTGTTGTGTCAGTCAGTGTATGTTTACTTGTTTATCATAAACGGGGCGGTAAAACCTTATATGGGTCACAACACCCAGCGAGGTCAAGGCTGCTTGGTGGAATAATTTGGTTGTATCCCTTGTCGCGGGATCGGATCGGAAGGTGTAGGTTCAGGTCCTGACGGAGTAAGACTTTTTTCAAAATGACCTTGACTCCCAGGTCGACCCAGCCTTGAGCGGGTACCAGGTGTAGTGTTGGGAAATAAAGGCGGCAGGCGTCATGTTGACCACATCACCTACCGAGTACGTATTGGTCTCTAAATTAAAGCTCTAGCCCTATATGCCCAGTACGCATGTAAGCATGGAAAAGTGTCCTTTAGTTTACTTTTTTTTTAAAATATGTACCTTGTACATACTGACGTAATAAAGAAACCTTTATTTTAATTTTATTTTTAAACCTTTGGATGACTTTGTTTTATGTTGTACCAAATACTATAGACTACTGTCCTCATTTTAAGAATAATGTACAAGCAAAGCAGTCAGATTTTCTACGTGATAAACTATGTAATATTTATGCCTATTTTTAAATAATTTGGCACGTCAAGTCATTCTCTTGAGTGCAGCAACGAAACATAATACACCAAGATCATCACCAGCATCCCTGTGTTATGACATTTTATGGAACATTGAGCTCACAGTCTAGTTCTCCATTCCGTTCTGTCCCATGCCAGCCTTTGGAATCATTGTAATATGTTTGCCTTCGCTCAGCAAAGTTTGTCTTAGGTTTCTATTGGTCATTCTCATATCTTTAACCCATTTGTTTCCATTCAGTGCTTTCCAGTTATAGTAATGATGTCTGGGCCAACCCAAGCGCATGTCTTGCCACTGACTTCTGCAGAGTGTCTTTCATCAGAAACCACCATGCGCGCATACTCTGCGCGCGCGCACACACACACACACACACACACACACACGCACGCACACCCAACCCCCCCCCCCCCCAAAAAAAAATCACCATAAATCCAGTTCTTTTATACGTGTCATTTGCACATTGAGAATCAATGGTAATTAATATCCAATACTCTGCCCCTCATGTGGACTACGGAAGGAAGAAAAAAAAAATGGCTAAGGCCAAGAAAAAGCCTGCATAGAACCAATATCAGAAAAGGCTCAACCATGGGCCTAATAAACATCTAAGACCTAAAACTTGTGGCAATAAACCCCCAGACATGGAGAGCTATGACCTCTGCCCTATGCGCCACCCTAGGCTGAAGAGGAATGACTGCCTAACGGACATTGTCTTTTGCCCTGGGTATACATTCCTGTAAACTGCTTCTGTCAATCTCTTTATGTTATTTTCTAACTTATAAGACTGTCTGCCTCTAGTTGGCTTGCCTCAAACTTTTCCCTCCTATGTGGTTTTTGTACGAGTATATTTCCTCTTCTAATGTGGCTGTAATATTTTGTCTCTTTTTTTATTCTATACCTGTCTAGCATCTCACTGTTCATCCCAGATCTCATCATAATTATTGTATTTTGTTTTTTGTGCCTGTAACACACAGCCTAGTCTTCTGTGTATCCACATTTGCAGAGATTTGACTTTCCTATTGCTTGTTCAATGTTGTTCAGTATTCTGCTCAAATATGTTATTTAACGACTGCTGTACTTTTCTTTTACTAATATTTACATGCTTTAGTTTCTCTAATGCAGTTATGTTAGTTGAAACATTCTTTCATATTCCATTTCAGAATTCTTTTATGGACCATATGAGTATTCTCGTACTGACCACATAGCTGCACAAATCCAGCGTTATCGGGATCATGGCTTATCAGGCTTGAACATTATCCGGCAATCATATGGCCTGCCTGCTTTACCTGATTGGACCAGTTTAGGTGGACTCAATGGGGTATGTGAGGTTAATAATTAATTAAGTAATTGGCTCATTAAAGTGTTATCTTTGTGTGCAGTGTCAAGTGGTAGAAGTGACCATATTTCTTCCATAACAATCTGACTTTTGTGTTGATGTGTTCAATGACTGACTGTCTTCCCTGCCACTCTATAAAAATATCAAACAGTTTCTTGCTATGCCCACCTTTGTCTCTAAGACTCTCAACCTTTCTGGTTGTTATAACATTACCAAGGCCACATAGGTTTGATTTCTACTTTTCTATTCAAAAGGCTAAGAATTTCATAGACTGCTAATGTGACCATTATCCAAGTACTGCAGGAGGCCAGTTTTTAAAAAGATCTGATTCTTCATCTCAAACTAATCATAATTCTTTGGGATGTAATTGTATGAGACAGAAGGGTCTGAAGTTTTTTCTCTGTTAATTGTATTATGTGTTTATGATTCTGAAGCATGCTGTAGCATGCTCATCATCAACAAGTGCCTTGCCAGTTGGCGTAGGCGTTTATGCATCTCCACAGATCTCGGACTTTGGTGTTCTGGATCAATTCCTCTGATGATATTTCTCCATGCCACTGTCTTAAGCACTTAACCATCATTTCTTTTTGTCTGCTTCTGCATCTTCTACCAGTGTTCTTTCCAGTCATCACAATATTTCCCAGTGCTCTTTTTCTCACCATGTATATAATGATCTACTTTCCAGACACTAACTGTTAGTTATTCTGGCAGTCCAAGGTATTCGCAACATTCTTCTCAAGAAGCACATCTCAGTTGTCTTCAAACTCTGCTTAATTTGTTTGCTTACATTCCAAGATTCACTGCTATACAACAGAAGGTGCTCAATGTAACACAGGCATAGGCAGTATATAATTAAAGTAAAAGATCCTATAAACGCCATTGGTGCAGTGGGAATATGGTCCTCCTAAATCCATACATATTTGAAAGACCATTGGATGATGTACTTAACATCGGGTTTGTCACCTTTACTTCCCAATGCATTTCCTAGTTACAAATTTAGGTTAAGTCAGCATGGAAGCCTAGATCATTTATAAAAATCTGCTTCAGTACAGTTTCGAGCCCAAGATCTTCAGGTTAACAAGCAAAAATATGGCCCTGCTGCTCCAGTGTATTAGATAGTATTCTAGAGCTGGTTTTCTAAGTTCAGTGGCTAGAAACTAATGTAAGAATGTTCTTCTTCTACATGTTGTCTCTGTGTAACTTCTTCGAAAATCACTGACCAAAAATAATTTCTACGTGTTTCTGTGTTATGTTGCCATGCAGTGCCGGCACATTTTCTAGGCATCATTTTTATAGGTGCCAGAACCTGAAGGCCCAGGCACCTTGAGACCCTCCCCCCATCCTAGGCAAGCCTCCTGCAATAATTTTTAAGAAGCAGAGCACCCCCTTCATACACATGCACAACCCCCCCCCCCCCCCCCCCACCCCCCCCCCCCTCATATATAAATACTTCTTTTTAAGAATGTGTTAATGCATGAAATATTTCACATGTGTTATTTTATGCCATTATTAATAATAATAAAAATAAGCAATAATTAGTGCAAAATTAAACAGTGTATAAGCTCCTTAAGCCTTCTCTTACACCCCTTCCCTCCTTTTCAGTAATCTTCTAACCCTTAAACCTTGTTTAATTGCTCAATAATAATAATCATTTTCTTCTTTTTGTTCTGCTTGAAACTGATTTGAGAATGCGAAGGCCACATGCCTCTATGAAATATGTGATGCAATGCATGTCTTCCACTGTTTCATATAGGCCAGCTGGCCAAACCTGTGATCTCTCAACTGTGTGAAGAGACCATGTCCTTAGCACATGTTCAGCTTGCTGTGGTGTCTGTCCACATGGACACAGTTCTTGAATTTGTGTACATATGGCTGCAGAGTCTGTGGTGTCTGACCACATGGACACAGTTCTGAATCCCCAGTCTTGGATTTTTGTACATATGGCTGCAGAGTCTGTGGTGTCTAGTACACAATCTAAATGAAACAGTTTTGTTTCTTTCATGAGTAGAGATTGATTAGGTCGTCAGGCGTGTGTCCTGGATTGGAAGAATTCCAATGGCCTCTGATGGCTGCCTTCATCTGTTTTATTTTCTTTGTAAGTGCATCCTACACACGGCTGTTCTTTGTGGCTTCCAAAGTTCCAGGTAGTCTGCTCTTTCATTTCCCTTAATGTTGCAGTGGCATCTGATCCACTAGAGCACAGTCTGCTTGGTTAGCTGACACATTTGATATAACATAGATATAAGCTCGTTGAATTGTAGTCTCTAATTTTTCCCTTTTTTAAGGTAAATTGTTTTTTTTAATTCAATTATTCTAGTATTGGCATCAAGTTTTTTGCAGTGTATGTCCTATCTGGCACCAGCATCTTTTCCCCACTGGTAATTTCTCTCCCAAAGATTTACAATTGTTATTCTGTCATATCTTTTTATTTCTTCCATTGTGTGCAGACATCATTTAATGAATTTTTTGTAGCTTATTAACATTAATTCTTCATGTTTCTCCTCCATACTGCCTTATTTAACTATATTCGTCATGCATTAAATTCTTCTATTCTATGAAGACATAAATTAATGAATGTTTGCTACAAACTAGTATTTGGTCTTCCTGTTTCTGCTTCTTACTACCCTATTTATCTATATCCTGCACTTGTTTCCAAGCACTAAGTAGCTATTAGTTTTTCACATCATTTTTTCAACCTGTATTCTCAGACACTACACAGACTATATGGTGGTACAAAACCAGACAATGTTGACATCCTCACTGGTGGCTTACTAGATCAAAGTGGCCAGGTGGCTGGCTTATCTGAGATATTCAGAAAGATTCTAATAGATCAGTTTACCAGCTTGAGGGATGGAGACAGATTCTGGTATCAGAGATCTGGGTAAGATAATTCTTTGTGATGTAATTAGTTCTTGTTTTATTTATAGTGATTGGTGTGATATGTGATTTAATTGTCTAGCAGCTAATTGTTATGTTGTATTACATATATCCTATTAGTAAGCTTTTTTTTAAAATCCAATTTGTTGATATTGTAGTACATTATAACATTAGCTGTCTGTCTTTCAGACACGCACACACATAAATCTATAGACACAAATGTGTGTGTGTGCAAGCGTATGTGCATTGTGTGTGTATATTTGTGTACATGCACATGTGTAGGTAAGTAGTATATATAAATGCAAAAGGAAGAATATTATAGATGAATATCTAATCTGCATCCATACTGAGGATATATAATTAGAATAATAGCTGCTTATAGTCAATATATTTCTATTTAATATCATAGCTGAAGGCACGTTGTGGCCATGTCAGCCATCACGAGCCGAGCGGTCTATAAAAATAGTGGTCTAGCACAATAGCCTTATGCGCCAATGGCGGGAAAGTCCGGTTTTTTTTTTTTATGATACTTTAGGACCTATCCAAAAGGGCCGATGGCCAGCTGATCGCTGATACTCTGAAAAGTTATTTGTTTTCAGCTAGGTTTTGCTGATGCACATTCCAAATTTATGGGCCGAGAGTCCAAACGTTCTATCACCCAGCTACTGAGTTGAGTGCTTGGTGCGACACTGGGAGCAGTGAAATTTGTGCGAAAATTATAATTAATTTTTTTTTTCTTCTGTTTTTTCTGCCGTTGTTTTTTTTTTTTTTTTCTGCCATATAATGGCATGTGACCTCTTACGTTTAGATTGGCATGTACTTTTGCGTGTGCAACACTGGCTTTAATGACTGACAAGTTGCGCCAACAGTGAGCTGCAATTTTACCATGGGACTGCTAGTGTTGGTACATCTGACAGCTGCCTTATGCATTTTTCCTTTGTATGTGCAAATTTCAAGATTTTGCTGGGACTGACCAGTTTTTCTAAAGCTTTCAAACTGGATTTCGGCATCTGTGGCTTAGGTGTTGTAAACGCGCTGCATAATGCTGGGGTGCCAGGTTTGATCACAGCTGCGGGCCTTGAGCCTTGCGTTGGTTTTGACAGTGGTATCGAGTAGCTGACCATCCAGAAAGCAAACTACTTGATGTAAATTTGCCTAGAAAAACCTCAACAGACAAAAAATGCTAGGGTTGGTTCTGCAGTGTCCAGTAAAGGACACACAACTAACTAACTTTCCAATGGGATGGTGAAGGACATTGTGTGTGATCTTCACTGGCATAGGAATGGTGCAGTTAGGGGTTAACATGTCTGCAGTAAGGTTTGAACCTCAGCTAACAACTAACAAATGATACTTTGGATGCCGAACCACGGTTAACTGATTTTTGACTTGTTGCACTTTGTTACAGACTGTTCACTGAAAATGAAATCAAAGAAATTGAATCTGTGACGTTCAAGAAAATACTGCTAGCAACCACACGTCTGTCTGCAAATGAAATCCCAGATAATGTTTTCCTGTGCCAAGGTCAGTGCTGAAATACTGCATACTTTAATACTCTTCTTTTTTCTTTTGTCATCTCACTGATACCAGGCTGTAGCCCAGTGTCGTGGTTTACTGTATTTGTCTTGTGCTTCTCGGGTGGCTTCTGTGGTGGTTTTGTTAATCTTTTTGTAGGTTTTTGTGGGTTTCAGCTCCCCCATTTACCCACCTCTTTCTTGGTCTTCCCCTCAATTTCCTTTTAGATGTTCTACTGTAAAACAAAAAATCTCATACGCAGTTTGGTTTAGCTGCATTCCAACTATATAGCCAAACTATTTCCTTCTTCTTCAATATAATTCAGACAGTCTTATTCCAGCTTTCTCTCTAATGTTGATATTCATAACCTTGTTTTTTCTTGTGTTGTTAGCTACCTTACGAAGACAGCGTATTTCCCAGGTAGTTATTTTCTACTATCCCTTGTCCATGTTTGGCACTGATAGCGTAAAATATGGATGACAATGCTATTAATTATTTGCTGTTCTGCTGGAAGGAAGACGTTCAGATTCTAAGCAGTTCGGCTAACCGGTAGGTGTCCGCATTTGCCTGCTGTACTGTGGCTTCTATCTCTCTGTGAAGTC